CTGTCCCTCAGCTCTTCAGCTCAAGGCTAGTGCTCTACCACTTGAGCCACAGCACCACTTCCTGCTTTTTTCTTTTTGCTTATGGGGTGCTGAGGAATTGAACCCAGGGCCTCATGCTTGCAAGGCAAGCGCTCTACCACTAAGCCACCTTTCCAGCCCCTCCCATATTTTGTATCCCAGAGCTGGCTTGGACTCCATCACCTCTTGATTTAGGAAGAAAGATGACCTATTTCATGGCCTTGTAGGAAGAGTCTGACATGACATGGGTGTTCTGATGGGGTCTGGGTAAGGAATGGGGGTACAAGGAATAGGAGTGACAGCATTGTTCTGCCTTTTGGAAGTCCCCTTGGATGTCTGACACGTAGAAATGCACCCATTCTATGCAGAGCTTTCTCTGTGGACTAAGTTCCCCCTTTTTTTTCTGATCCCTCTACTGTTTTCTTGTTCTTTATCTTTTTTGGTTGCTTCAGTGAAAATATCTCATTAATTTGCACAGCCTCGAATGGAAGTTTGTTATGGTTTAGATTGCAAGGCTGATCTAAAATTAACCTTTATATTATTTATGGATAAGGAAGCAATGAATAGTATATCAGGGAATCTTTAAACTGCTTAACCGAATAATTGTTTTATCTAGCTTTTAAAACACCATTTACATATAATTAATGTACTAATTATACATGGATATAAAGTTAATTCTTAAAGCTGGCCTCTGCATGCATCTCAGCTGAGCTGTGCTGTTAGCCTAATTCTAGTAACTGTTTATATTGAAATAATGAGACTATTTCTTTGGACTTAGCAAACAATTCTGTTTTTTCATTACTAATTAGTACTAATTAGAATAGGCCCAACCCTAACCCAGGCTGTGTTAAAAAGGATCACAGACTTCAACATACGGGTGTCCAAATTAATTTGTGTCTAATAATAATTTAGATCACTGCCCAAGAGAAGGAAAGCCAATTTTGAACTGGTGAATCCAGAACCTCTAACCTTTCTGAGAACAAGTCTTGGATAAGCTACTGCACATGCATCAAGCAGATTGGGGAATTCTGACTTCATCTATATGGGGTGGTTCTGAGAATTGATACTTTGGGTCAGTCATTTTTCCTGCAGAATGGGCTCTTATCTTTTTAGGTTGTGGAATCAAGAGGTGTAACATTCAGTTTCCAGCATTGTTTATCACCTGGAGTGCTCTTGATGTTTTGTGACATCTCTAGCCACAATAATAACAATAGGATGGTGATGATGATGATGATGGTGGTGGTGACAGCCAACATTTTTTTTTTTTCTGGTCGGTTGAACTCTGGGCCTGAGCGCTGTCCCTCAGCTCTTCAGCTCAAGGTGAGCGCTCTACCCCTTGAGTCACAGTGCCACTTCCGGTTTTCTAGTGGTTTATTGGACATAAGAGTCTCAGGGATTGGGTGCTGTCCCTCAGCTCTTCAGCTCAAGGCGAGTGCGCTACCGTTTGAGCCACAGCACCACTTTTGGTTTTCTGGTGGTTTATTGGAGATAAGAGTCTCAGGAACTTTCCTGCCAGGGCTGACTTTGAACCATGATTCTGAGATCTCAGCCTCCTGAGTAGCTAGGATTATAAGTGTGAGCCACGGCGCCCGGCTAACAGCCAGCATTTCTTGCATGATACTCTGGATCAGATACTTTGCTGGGCACAGTATAGACATTTAATTTTGTTGAATCATTTCAGCAGCTTTCTAAATAGGGGTCACTATATGTATCTAATTTTATTGTTAGGGAATAGTTCCTAGCGGTTAGGTACTTTTCTCAAGGCCATGTATCAGGATGCCATCAAACCCACCTTAACCAGCCTCTCAATGCTATTGTAAGGATTAAATAAGGATTAAGTAAGGTATCAAGTATAGAGCCCTGGAAAGGTGAGGTGATGATGATTTTTGATGATCAACTTGAGTGGATTGAGAACTATCTAGGGAGATGAATAAAGCTCACCATCAAATCCGTCTGTGAGGCATTTTCAGCGAGAACTGACTAAAGGGAATAAGAGCAATCCCTTCCCATAAGGTTGTGGGGCACACAAGAATGGAAAGGGAATGCCAGCTACTGCTTTCTCTACTTCCCAGGGGCCATGAGGTGATCTGCTCTGTGCTTCTGAAAATCCTAAAGCCACGAAGTAAAACAATTCTCTGCTACACACACCTCAAGTTTGTATCTATCAGGTATTTGATTTTTGTCTTAGCAGTGTGAAAGTCTAACGAATACGTATAAGCACTGAAAGCATACACACGTATACATAAAATAGTTGTGCTTTTTTAGCTCTGACCAAGTGTAGCAGACATGAACTTGAAGGTAGAAGGAAGAATTTATGAATTGCTCCGCTGTCCATGGAAATCTAGCTCTGTTTTTCCATTGCCCACACAGGGCCCTTCCCTCAGTTTATTTTATCTCTGTCACTCATAAATTTATTCCTATACATGTAAATCAACTAGATTCCTTCTGGTATACTCTCATTTGGTTTTTCTTTTGCTTCTCCAACTGAGTTTCTATCCATTTGGTTTGGGAGGATGACATGGTAGGGATTGGTGCTTTTCATCCTTCTTCCTGAAAGTAGCAAGATTGTTTTACACTGAGGCTAAACCTAAAATAAGCACCATTTAAGCCATCAGCTATGCCCAAAATAGATAAGACAAATACAGGACAGAACTTTTTGTTTTGTTTCATCTTGTTTTGGGAAATTCTGGCAATAGAACCTAGTATCTAACACTTGCTAGATAAAGTGCTCAAGTACTGAGCCAGCTCCCCAGTCTACAACAGCCTGTTTGCTTTAATAGAGTAGCTTTTCTAAAGGCTGTTGATTTGGACTTGACCTTATAATGGAAGAGTTTCTCTAAGACTTTACAGTGATATGACTCAATGAGTGGTAAATATTTTCTCCAAGAAAATATCCTAATTTTCTTGAAATAAAAATAAGATCAATTTAAAATAAGATGAATGAAAAGAGATAATTAGTCTCTTGGTCATCATCCTAGAAGTACATTAGTTCATCATGTCTGTGTTTGATTACTCAAACATTTTGTTAAGGAATTGATTGGAAGCAAAATATTTGCTGCAGGGGGGAATTTCCTTGCAGCTCCGTAAAGTAAATAAAGATGGAAAAAGGAGGTTTTAGAATGACTTCGAGGGTAAGATGGCTTTGCTCGTTGTAGCTCACGTGACCTCTGTCGTAGCTGACCTCTCATTCATAGCTGTAGATCTCTTCTTTGTCTTGACATTTATCTTTTGTATTAGTGAACCTAGGCAGCTCCAACTGCCATCCTACTGCCTCTCCCATGCTTATCGCCAGGATGAGCTCCAGCTTTTCTCTCAGAACTTGTCCTCCACCTGACTTAGTGCATCTTTTGGTGAGCTTTCTTTTTCTTGAGTGACAGTTCTTGGTCCTCCACGGGGTCCCTTGTGTCTTTGGATCTCTGCTTTTGAGCACAGGCATATTTTCAGTCTCCTTTTCTTTTTGCCTTCATTGAGAACTGGTTATTAAATTCTACTCTTTGCTTCTTCATTTTAACTCTTTTCATTTATTCTCATTGTTTTGCATCTGATGAATAGCCATACTTTTTCTCTTAGTAGGTGCTCACTAGATGCTAGGAATGAATGTGTAGCATCTGAGGGGATCAACCGGCCAAATATATTTTTCTGACTCATAATGACACTGGGTTCTTTCCGAGTTTTTTTTTTTTTTTTGGTTCCCTTTCCAAGGAACTCACACATATGCTCAACATTGAAGTTAGACATATATTTGGACTCTTTTAGGGCCACAGTGCTGCTTTTGTTCTGTATCCTAACAACAGTGTTTTTAAAACCACAGCGGATGCAGTGAATAATGCAGCTGGCTTTGGGTTCAGTGGAGTGGATAAGAATGGAAATTTCCATTGGGATCTGCTGTCTAACCTAAACATCTGGAAAATCGAGGTGAGTACGTTTACTTCCAGCATGAGTAAAGCAAGCAGTTTTCTTTGAGTGTAATATTCTGAGATCCTACACCAGAGTGTTTGAGAAAAAAGTTGCTCTGGGAAAAGCCAGGCCCTGCAGTCTTCTGAACATTTTACATCTCATATTTTTTTGTTTTATTGTTTTTCTTCTTAAATAGACATTTTCTTTTGCAGTTTTAATAGTTCAAGAGAAAAAAGAGACACCAAGAATCTTAAAAAGAGCCAAGAAAAATCTTTCTCTTGTTTACATTCTTATTTTTTTCAACTAGAAAGTGCAAATGTCAAATTTTCTCTTGTTCACATTATACTTATTTCCGCCAAGCACACAGACGGGAAGTTCCTGCATTTAGATTTCAATATTGCAAGGGTTTCTGTGGACCCCTTGGAAATGGTTTTAAACCCATTTGCTTTTCAGAAGGATTATGACTGAACTCAACTTGTAGGCCACTAGAAGAGAGTGTGTTTCCTCATTTTTCACTCTTCATTCTTGGACCAGCACTCACTAGCAAGTGTAGTCTTAGGGGGACTGTATCATTCATCATTTTCTTTGCTTTGTTAGCACTAGAGTGTACAGGGACAGCATGTCATCAGAGCCTTTCCTTCTTGTAGCAACCGAAGGCCACAAATAGCAGCATACAGAACCAGCGCAACTCTTGTATGTTGTTGGATTTGGTTTTCCACCTCTCCTGGGACAGATAAGATGCCATTGGAGGATTTTCCCAGAGAAAGTTGTTTGCAGAGAAGGAAGCCAGTGACTCTGACCACTTTCTACCCACGTTTGGTGGAAATACAGCCAGGAAAGCCATAGAGAAAGCCAACTCTTCTGCCCAAGTTTGCATTTGGACAGCCTCCAGTAGCCTTTCACAAATTCCTAACAAAACATGGGAGGTTTATAGATTTCTTTTACTTCTCCTGCTCTTCCTCTTGCCTTTTCTTTTTTCTTTTCTTCCCCTCCTGCTGCTTCATAGATGTTGTTTCTTCAAAATACAAGCAAGCAGAAAGAAATAGGAGTACTTTTATGGCTATTAATGAAGCAAATAAAATACATCATACATTCCGCTTCAATTCATAGTGCCATTTGATCACTCAGGTTAATCAGATTCAATAAATATCCAATTTCCACTATGGGAAAAAAAAACCACTCATTTTTAGATCATCCTAGAGAATCTGAAGACACCTGTGGTAGAAGGCCTTTCCAAGCCTGGCAAGGGAAAAGCTAAAGTCTCATCTGGGTTCTTTCTGAATGAAGCGTAACACTCTGTTGATTGCCTCATGTGAAGCAGGAAGTGCTCCCCATCCCAGCAAACCACATCTTCAGGGGACAAGCTCCAGACTCCACAATTACCTTTCCCACTTCTAGAAGAGCATACAGATCATCTGGAAGCATCTTTTCTGTATAAGTGATGTCAGACAAAGCCCAAGTGAGTCATGACTTTCTTCCCTTTTCCCACTAACATCCTTCATTCCCTCCAACCTCCTGGACAGCTGACTGCTCAGCTGCCTTCGAGCACTATGGGTAAAATGCCTTTTGTGGTGGTCCTCGTGACCGCTGATCACTCAAAAGTGGCACTCAGAAGACAAAATCCTTTCACTTAAGGGCATGTGTTCAAGGTCAAAGGCTATGTTATTAAGTTCCATGTTTATTAGGGAAGAAAATAAAGAGAATGATTGCATTTTAATCGTGTTTGATAAGGGGCAGAGAACAAAAGCAAAACAGGGATGTCTGATTTAGTTCAGGGATCCTGAGGCTGTGTTTGTAGCCTTTTATTCTTATGCAGAAGTATAGAGCAAAATCCCTTAGGGTTTCAAAATAAAAGCTCACAATAAAAATCTATCTCTCTTATCTATCATCTGTCTTTATCTGCTCACATATCTGTTTATCATATCTCTATCATTTTTCCATCTGGTCTTCCATTTATCTATCATCTATTTTATTCTCTCCCTTTCTCCTTTTCTTTCTCCCAGTTAAATATATCACATGAAGCTACTGTGTGGTCTCTATAAGATTTTCTTGTACCTGAAGAAACATTAACAGGAAAAAAATGGTCACTGCCCTTTCTACTTTCTTCAGGAATTGTTGTCCCCATATGTGTGCTTCCTACATTTTGCCACCAATCTTTGATAAGACTTTTTTTTTTGATGGTTTGAATTAGAAAACCTAATTGATCACATATTTTGGGTGGGTCTTCCTCAGTGGTTGATTGATTTATATTATTGCCAGTTGGATGCTATTTCTTTGTTTTCTTTTCTGAATTGGGATCCCTTCACGCATAAAATTGCTTACTATCTCAGACACAATTGGTAGCATTTGGAGCGGCGTAGCTATTTATAGAAATCAGTGCATAAGACTGACCTAGTTTGTCCATGACCTCATAAAGATGACAGTTAAACTTCAAGGTCTCTAGAAAGGCTCTTTATTTGCAAGATTAAACTTTTTGTGGTAAGTCCCCTTTTAGAATATTGTTTTAAAAATCAGAGGATTAAATTTTTTTTGTTGTTTTTTGTTTTTTTTGGGTCCGGTCGTGGGGCCTGAACTCTGGGCCTGGGCACTGTCCCTCAGCTCTTCAGCTCAAGGCTAG